CTGCCTGTGGTGCAAGATAAGTCTAAGGACTACAAAGCCCACATGTTTTTCTAACAGTAATATCTGAGAGTACAGGGGTGTTCTTATTAGGGCAGACTTGTAAGATGGGGAGTTGTTCACGGCTAGGTGAGTTCTAGGACTCACTCAGCACGTGTTAGCGTGTACAATCTCCAAATTACTCTCTGTCCGAGCATTCACGCGTGCTTTCGAGCGCCGTGTTTGTCACATCGGCAACCATGGTTCACCACTCTCAAGTCCATCACAACAGAGTACCTGATATTGCTTCCCCAACCAACTCTCCTGACTCAAGATGGAGGCAATGTCTGCCACCCTGATGTCAAGTCTCTACATATCACAGTGTGGAGGATTCTCCCATCATAAGAGAAGTACTCGACAAGGCCAGGAAACCATCAACAAAATTGTTATCTTTCCATCAATGGTCTGCCTTTACCAAATTTGCTAAACTCAGAGGCTTTGTTACAGTTCCTGTTTCTCTGAGGACTTCTTGCGCCACTTATTTGATTTGGGTTTGGCGCATTCCACACTCAAAATTTATATTTCAGCCATTGTATCATATCAATCGGTGGAACTGGCATATTCTCATTTGTTTTCTCACCCTACTGTTAAGAAGTTCCTTTGAGGTCTGCAGAATATTCGTCCTCCTGTTTGACTTCCAGCTCCTCAATGGTCCCTTCAGATTGTCCTGGAGGTCCTCACACAGCTTATGGCTACATCTTCTTTGAAGTTATTGTCTTTAAAAAGTTTGTTCTTGGTGGCCATCACATCTGCACGAAGGGCAAGTGAATTAGCTGTACTACGGGCTGATGAGCCTTATATCCAGTTCTCCCCAGAGAAAGTTGTTCTCTGTCCTGATATTTCATTCCTCCCTGAAGTGATTTCAGAATTTCATGTTAATCAGCCCTTGATTCTCTCAATGTTGTTTCCCAACCCTTCGTCAGATGTTCAGCGCATGCTCCACTCCCTTGATGTTCGTCGGGCTCTTGCCTTCTATATCTCAAGAACTATGGACTTCCATAAATAATCAATGAGACTACTGCTATGCTTTCATGGACCTCGGAAAGGTCATCCTGCTTCTTCCCAATCCATTCCCAGATGGTTGGTCTCTGCCATTGCTTTAGCCTATGACCTGGTGGGCAAAACTCCGCCAGAGGTGATTAAGGCGGGTTCCACCAGAGCCATGGCTACTTCCACTGCATGGCTGCGTGGCATTGAACTCTCTGATATCTGTAAATCAGCGACTTGGTCTACACCACTGACCTTTGCTATGCATTACAGACTGGATGTCAGATCAAAGAAAGAAGCAAGTTTCAGAAGGGCTGTGCTGACTTCGATTCTGCCGTGACAGCCCTCCTTCTGGTAAGTGAGCTTGCTAGTCACCCATTCATGTGTATTCACAGAGACCACGAAGTAGAGAGGTTACCTATCTGTAACCGTTGTTCTTCTAGTGGTACTCTGTGAATCCACACTTCCCGCCCTACCTCCCTGCTGTCCATCACAACATCTTTTGGCATTTAATTTTTCAGAGCCATTGCAATGGTGAATATTTGGAACTGACATACCGGTGGGCGGAGCATGCATGATACAAGGAGACGTTACACTTGTCATTTTTAGCTCTAGAATATTCCAAAGAGTCATGCGCATGTGCAGTTTAACCTATTCGTGTAGATTCACAGAGTACCGCTAGAAGAACAATGGTTACAGGTAAGTAACCTTTTTATTTGTGCAGCTAGGGCTATGATGAGAAAGAGGGAAGAAGGAAAAAGTCAGCGATGCCATATTCATCTATGGCACTCTCCACTGGAGCATCTTTCATGCTTGGAAAGAAGGAGGACATGTTGGGAATAATGACTAGTATTCTCCAGGGAAGCAGCAATAGGGTTTCTGTGCCTGATGGACAGGGAGGAGTGGGACTAATGGTGAGCCGCATCCATAATGGTGTATGCTGCCCTGAGCTCTATATCATAGATTTACAGTACAGTGGTGCCCCACTTGATGATTACCCCGTTAGACGTAGAAATCACTTGACGAGTTTTTTGCAATTGCTATAGCGATCGCAAAATAATGATTCCAATGGGTTTTTTTCGTTTTACGACAATCAGTTCCCTGCTTCGGAAACCGATTTTTTGCTTCACAACAATTAAAAACAGCTGATCGTCGGGTTTTCAAAATGGCTCCCCGCTGTTTTCCGAACCTATTTCCGGAAGACAGTGATGCAAAATGGCTTCCCCTGTGGAGGATCTTCGCTGGACGAGCAGGTATTTCTCCCATTGGAACGCATTGACCTGATTTCAATGCATTTCAATGGGGTTTTTACTTTCACTTGACGACTGTTTAGCTTAACAGCGATTTTAACGGAATGCATTATCGTTTTCAAGCAGGACACCACTGTATTAGGTTCAGAAGAGAAAAGTGTGGCCACCTCTGGGCAACACTGCCATCAAGCTGCTGCCCTCCCACCTCCTAGTATGGAGAGCAATATGTCTTTTCTATTACAGGGATGTCTTGTGGCCACAGTGTTTCTGGCTCATTGCTGAAGAACTGATTTTCATGAAGCTTAACCTGTCTCTTCTGGCTACAGTTTCCCGCCTGTACAGCTGGAAAAGAAAGACAGGGAATGGCTATTAGTAGCACAAATATATGTTCATACTACAACTCCCAGTACAGTATTTACTGGCAGTATACTGCCTATGGTGTTGTAGTCCAAAAGTACAAACCTGCACACATCTAGTGGCAATCAGTGCCAACAGCCACAGACAAAGTAGGGAATAGAATGAAAACACTTCAGTGGCAAAGCTTTACTGCCCATACCCGGAATCTTGGGAGGAGTAAAACAAAATTCTTCTAGGCTTGAAGAAAGTGAGAAGTTTTCTTTTCACTTGTAGATAGGAAAAAGTAAAGCTAAAAATCAAGAGATTTTCAAGAGATTAAATAGCCACCTAAAAAACTAAGGGAAAAAGATTCTGGAGCCTGAGCTAGGGCATAAGGAAGTAAAGTTTTCCAAAGAACAGTCTCTTCCTGGGGATAGGAAACAGAATAAGATATTACGTAGGTCTCCTTCAGTATGCATGTAGGGAAGAAATATAAAGTGGTAAGATCTGCCTAGCTGTGGAAGAGAAAAAGGTTACTAATTTGCTCCACCTGTACTGTGGCTACACAGAACAGAACCATTTAATGTTCACTGGTCTGTAGGAAGAAGTCAAGCTGGGGAAGAATAGACTCAAAATATAAGTCCCCAAAGCTTTCATTAGCTAGATCCCCCCCATCTCAGATAAACTATCCTTTGGAAAAAGTCCTGATTATTATGCTGAAACAGCTTGGGGGTTGGATATATTTTTAAGTAATTTATAAGCTGTGTCAGAAAGGTTTGTTTCCTGCAAGGTAGGATAGTCATAACAAAAAGTTTAGCTCTCATGTGTCTGCTTAAGAGGATGAATGGAAGCTGTAGTTCTAGCTGCATTACATTTCCTGTGTTAGAGACTTAATCCTTTCCTAGAGTTTCTGGGAATAGTGGTGAATACTATAGAACTGAGCTATAATTGTAAGTGTGTGGATCTAATTATTGTACTGTATGTGTGTGCATTTTCTTTTAAAGGGAACAGTATGCAGAGGGAAAGATGAGAGGTGCTGCTCCAGGCAAGAAAACATCAGGTCTCCAGCAGAAAAATGTCGATGTGTAAGAAACTATTTAAAAGGCTTTCATTCAAAATCTTTGCTCTTGAAAATCCTAACAAGTGTATTTCTTAAATTTAAAATGGCACTGTTTATGTCCACTAAATGGACACAGTCCCTTCATTTTCTCTGAAAGCTTTGCAGTTTCCAGAATTATAAACTGAATGTAAACTTTCAGATTCAGAATAGTGAACCTCTGTTTCACATTTATAATTACATAGAAAAAAATCTGATTATCTGGAATTAATGATAGAATTAACTAGAAGACACATTAAGTAGAAGGTTTGTATGTCAGTACTGTAAACCAGATTCATCTTGGCCAGAAGTTTAGGTTATTGTGTTGGAATGCAAACTGGAAGTTTACACTGTTTGTGTCACATTATCTACTGAGGGATTTAAGTAATCTAGCTGTGTGCAGGACTGTTCTTACTGTGAGCTCTCCTTCAGATGCAGGCAGCTGTATAACTTCCGCTACACTCTCTGTTTTAACAGCGATGACCTAATCACAGATTCTGGGCTCTCTCAAATTAGTGTGTGAGATTTGATGGCACTTCTACTCCAGTGCAGCTTCTAAAATTATTTATTTATTTATTTATTTATTTATTTATTTATTTATTTATTTATTTATTTATTTATTTATTTATTTATTTAACTTATATGCCGCCCATACTACCCA